ATATATATATATGTATATATATATATCGATTATATATAAGAAACTAATATTTATTAAAGCATCAGACCACTGCTAAAGATAAGCATCAAGCTTACGTTACCATAAATGTATGTTATGTATCTAAAGCACGCAAACAATATCTACTAAAAGAGAAAGCTATCAACTATATATATTAACTATACATATTAGCTACATATTTATATATAGTTAATATATAAATCTATATGTATTTGATATAGTCTACATGGAAATAAAAATTTTCGTTTCGATAAAGACAAATGTAATATTTAGTCGTTTGGGCTCGCACCTCTAATATCCGTGGATGGCTCACTTTTGGACAGTTCGTGATCGTTGCTGCGACACGAAGTCGTCTTCGAAGGGCTTTTATAATGCGCCAACACATCGTTCTTCCCAGATGTAGTTTGATTCTGATGGGGGAAATGAAAAGTCGTACTATGAGGCCACGATGCGGGCGGTGGACTTCTGACCAAATGCTCATGCACTTGGGCTAAAGTTAAAGGGTCGGTGTCACCCAATTCCTAAAAAGAATAAGCGTTTCAATCGTACAAAATAATAAAAATTATCTGTATATTATTCTGAAAATGAGAATTAATATTTTTATACTATTTTGTATGTTATACACAGTATATTATAACTTAAACCAAGCTAATTTAATTAAAATCTAAATTATAACGAACGTTATTGTACTTGATGTGAAAATGATAATTAATCTTTATAGTTATTTTACGCGTATTTTTTATGCATAAAAACCCTTAATATAATTTAAATATAATCCATCATAAATCTCATTAATTATATATATATTTTAATTATATATATATTTTATATATATTTTGTTTAAAAATATTTTTATATTATTAGATTGTGTTCCACGAATTAATGATAAAATGATATCAAGAATGAAAAATTAGGGTAGAATAAATTGAGGTAATTGAAGTTATCACCCTCTTGAATAGAATATTTATGACTGCACTCGAGAAGGGATGAGAATAAGGTAGATAAAGTATCAGTTAAGTATGCTTCGATCGATGACCATTAGTTTATCGATAAAAAGGGAATGTATGTATGTCTACCTTAGGGTGGAAAATTTTACGTTAATTGTAAACTGGGGAGTATTGAATATAGTAATATAACGGGAAAAATTAGACGGATATATATTGTATTAATATAGGAATAAAAATCTATTCGAGACAAATCTTGAAGGGTTGCCTATTAACAGGCGCAGGTTAAATTAATGCTTGTTTACCAGACAAAATCTTCTTTTGTATATGATTCTATTAGAAGCTATTTAAAATAAATCCATATAACATATAGAGTTTTCGTAATCTTAATCCACTTGTTGAAAATAAGATCATCTATAATTGGATTTATTAGCTTAATGTTTTGTTGTTTTATAAAATTTATTTATGTTTTTATTTATGTTTAGTAGTACGTTATTAAATATATACTATTCATAGTTTTTTATTTTAACGGAGAATTGATTTATTTTACTCTTTAATGTTATTTTTAATTTTTAATTTTTTTCTAATAATAATAATATTTAATAATAATCAAAATCTATATCTTTAGATATTCATTGATATGTGTTTAAAAATTTCTATATTTATATATATAAATATATAATATTTATATATTTATATATATATATTAACATATTATATATTTTATCATAGTGTCATAAAAATCAATAAATCTTATATATATAACCATTAAAAAAAATGTATTTTCTTATAATTAGAGCAACGTAATTTCTTTAGCCTTTACTTACTTTCCAATAAAATTTATTAAATAAGATGTCATGCTTTTAAACTTTTAGTTTCTTAATATTATTATTACTATATAAATTTTATTAAGAGATATCTCATGTGTCTAGTTACCAATTTATATGACTTATATGTAATTTGATATTTTATTAGAATTATATAGTTAAATATTACAATAATATTTCTTTAATCTTAAGTTTGAAATTATTTATATATTTTTTGGCATATTTTTCATGTCTGCAAAATATTATAATATCAATATAATAATATAATATAATAATTAATATTATTTAATTATTACTTTAAATCTTCTAAAATATTTTGTTTAATTTGTAAAATTTGTTTAACAAAATAAAATTCTTATTAAATAACATTTTTAAGAATCTTTATAAATGATATAATATTGTTTTTTCATTATTTCAAAATTTAGAACTTTCATTAAGATAATATTTAATCATTAAAATAATTTTAAAATTTTAAAATTTTAAAATAAAATATTTATGATATTTTTATGCGTTTATCACATTGGTTCTAATCCATTCTCGATTAGATAACTATTATTACTTACATTTAATTAAATTATTATCCATTTTTTATCTATTTTTGTACAATTAAGTATATACTTTATTAAGAAATAAAATTATCATTATCTCTAGAATATTGTAACTGATTATATTTACGTAACTGATTAAATTTTATCATCGACTAGATATAGAACTTATCATTTAATGCATTTTTGTTTTATATAATTCGATTCTGTCATTATCACAAATAATATGTCACTCACTGTTTTTATTGTTAGCTTGAGATGTTGTTAATTGCATCATTTTGATCAATTTTTTCTCTTACATATAAGTGACTATTAAGCTTTAGTTTTCAAGTTACATACAAAATATTTTTGGTGCCACTATTATATTCTATTTCTATATATGTATTCGTGATAATATGTGTGAATAAGCATATAGATTGTCACTTATCATTATTTATACATGCATATAAAGATACCTGAATAGCCAATATGTACAATAACAGATGAGCTTATCGAAAAGCAGCTTCCTTAAAGATTTGAATATTATTTCTTTTTAAGATACTTTTTATATATGACATATATGTATTACACTATAGATAAAGAAAACAATAAATGTGATTAAATATGAGATTAATATTATTATTATTAAATTATAATTTCAGTAATTATAATTTTGGCTGTTCAAGAATTATTTTATTAGTGTCCCATGTAACTTTGTTAACTAGAATATCTCGTTTGTTTTTTGAAAATATTAAAAAATGTTTCAAATAAAAGTTTAATGATTGATGAGCAGAGCATAATGTAATTAATTTTTTTTTTTTACATGAATGCGTAAGGGACCTGTAAAGGTCAATTTTAAAATATAAATAGTATGTGCTCCGCTTGAAGCATTTAATTTTTATCTGAAACATTTTTTGATATTTGAACAAAAATAATGACATACATAATAATAGTATTAAATGATATACTCTATATTTTATTTTTATATTTTATGGATTTAAAGAAACCATGAAATTTTTAAATTTAGATACTAGATAAATCTAGACTCATGATACTAACAATAAATTTTTATTATATAAAATGTTATGATATTTTAATAAAATAGAATAATAATGATATAAGAAAAAAAGATATAATGAAAATATATATAAAATCTATATAAAACTTTTGAAATAGATTTTAAGAAGCATTTTTAAAAATCAAAATAATAAAATAAATTTCGTTTAATAAACTTCGTAATCGTAATAAACTTCAATCTCATAGCAAATAAGAAAAGTTATTTTTAATAATCGATTTATCATCCCTGTTTTCTTTTTTCTCACTTGAATACCGAGTATTTAAGTTCACTTCTTTTGATGGCTAAAGCTTCTGGAATTCACCCAAAGCACAACAATGGACTATAGATAAAGTACACAAAGTTCCATGTACACTAGACGCTACTATAGAAAGGCTTATTGTAGCCTCGCCAGTTCAGGGTTAATGGAATGAACGTACCATCCTCTGTAATAGACAACTATTATGAATGATCAATAATAACTAATTCTATATCTGGAAAATTATTTTCGTTATCTTTTAAAATGTAATATTTTTATGAGATGTATCTAGGTAATTCAATCCTATTAGAAATCTGATATTTATTACAATTATTTTAATTTTTAATTTTACTATAAATATTCTTCAATTATAAAATTTTTTTTAAAATAAATTTTGAACCATTTATGTATATGTATTTTTCTAAATATACACAATAAGTTTCTAAATTGGTAATTGATTTTAAACATAATATCTAATTCAATCATTGGATAAATTTCTTATAATCATTTCTGATCTTCTTAAAATAATAACTTGTAATTTTAAATCCAATTTAAATCCAATTTTGTTTTGTTTATTCTGACATGGAATGGTCTCATCGAATTTTTCTGTAAAGAGTTCTGTATTTATTGTGATTTATGAAAATGATTGAAAATTGAACGATATTTTTCATTGTAAAATTTATATTTATTGAAAGTAACGTATCTGCAAATTATTTATTTCTGAAGTATTTTTAAATTATATAGTAATTTTTGTTTCAAGTATCTTGAATTTTTATAATTGATCTATAGTAAGATCACTGAACAATTATAGTGCTTCGGAAATAATGCTTATGTAACAACTAATACTACATTTGGCTTCTTCTTGATATAATCTATCCGAAAGGTATCTTGATATTAATCTGCGTATGTGATTATATAAGATTTCAAAAATTTCATTTATGCAATATTATTATTTAAAATCTTACAAGTGGTTATTATCTTTGAATTATAAAAATTAAGATAAAATTTAAAAAATTTCTTTTCATTCATAAAATGAAAAATGAAATGTTAATTGTACAATTGTAACAATCTTTAAGTATGTAAATAAGTATCTAAATCTATCTGAATAATTATAAGTATTTTTTTAAATATTATCAATAATTATTTAATATATTATGTATCAAGACAATATAATGATGTCAGAATTTTCTATTTTTATTTCTATTTTTTATTCTTGTAATAATTCTTGCTTACATTTTACTATTAATAATATTGGTAAATTATTTTTTAATATTAAAAGTATATTTAATACTATTATTAATAATATCAATAATTAAATCTTAATTTCAATTATGCACATAATTCCCCTAAAAAAATGATCCCATGATATTGTGTTTGATTAAAAATATCTCTTCAAATATCTCATCTCCAACATGATATTCTTTGTCTACTCAAAACAGTCGCCATATCCTGAAAGACTGTTCGAAGGAAGAAAAGACGTATCACTCTTAACTAATGCCCCTTCCCATCGCCCTCGCCATCAAGTTCACGCTAGCATTAATAATGCAAACTGGCCGACCGATCGATGCTTCCTTTCACGCTCTTATGGACCAAGACAAAGGCGAACGAACGCGAAAGGAGAAAGAATCGCTCACCTGAGACATCAGGATGGCGTCATCGGACTCGGACTCCTCCAACGATTCCACTAAACTTTCGCGGCTCGCCAATACCTGAAAAATACAAATTAATGGTTTAGTAATAATAATACAAGTGAAATATCGAATTTTTCGAAGGTGTGGGAAGTGAGTCATGGATTTATTTGAGCGTGACGAAGTAATCGTGTTATCTGTTATCTGCGTTCATTGAAAATTTACTGGTAACGTTGTATGAATATTTTACTAATAGAATATAGAAATTTGAATTTATGTTTTTATACATAATTTGTACTTTTGTTAATTAATTTTTAATTTATGCATAACGTAAATATGAAATTTATTAAATTAATCGCTTGTCTTTAAGACGTATATTCACTTTTAACTGTCATTGTATGTGAAAGTACATCTATAAGATATAGATATTTTGTTTATTATATAAAGGATATATAAAAAATTTAATATTGAATTTAATATTGAATTACAAAAAATTATATTATAAAAAAAATATAAATATTTTTAGAAAAATTATTCTCAATTTATTAAAATGAAATAATATTTCATTTTATATGAAGATGATAAACATAACCTATAATAGTATATATACATATACATATCATTAATATATATATTATATATATTATATATTGATTTTGACAAATTGACAGTTTGAAGTTTCTTAGAATATAATCTTTTCAATAGTATTAGCTTATTCTATAAGTAATGTCATTTTAAAAAAACATTAAAAAACTTTTTTTTAAAAAAACTTAAAATGTAATTAAAATTGTAATTGCAAAGTATTATATATTACAAATAATTTATATTATTATAAATAAATTAAATTAAGTCAACTATAGTTCATAATGAAAAATTATATAACTTTTGCTATTAAAAAATGACAAATAATTCTTGTTTTATTATAACAAAGCAATAATTGATATTAATTATTGTATCATATTGTATTTATTATTGTATCATATTTTTTTTTTAAATTTTAAAGAAATAGCATTTATTTTTTTTTACTATTAAATTTTTTAAGTGACAAAATCTTTATCACTCTCTTTTTCTCTTTAAAAATGCAAAAAATATGTATGAATAAATATCATTATTTTTTTATTGAAATTTTATTACATTTTTAAAAATAATAATGAGTGAGAAATAAATTTCAAATTTAATATTATTATAATTTTTTTAATAAAATTTTTTTTATTTAAAAAATTTTCTAATATGTAGAAAGAATTTAAAGAAAAAACAGGAAACAATAATAATTCATATTTCATTTCAATTTGTTTCCATGAAAAACCATTTTTTAATATAAGAGAATGAACGTTCATTGTTCATACTGAAAAGAGCTTATCTGTTATCTACATTCGTTATATTTCCTTAGTGGAAATATTAGTGGAAATATGAGTGCAACTGATTGTTAGATTTATTGCATTTGAAGTATAGTATTAATAGTATTGATGGATGTCGAGTGATGTAGAAAACTGGGACAGGATATAGGTATTTTTTTCTTTAGATAAAAATAGAAAAAAAATCGTTCATAGAGATTGGATAGGTTAATGAGCTTTATCTTTAGACTATCACTTTTAATAATATATTTTTCTATTTATTCTATTTGTCAAATACTAATAAGAATTAAAAAGAAAAAGAATATATATGATAAAATTTATAAAATATTTTATAAAATATTTATAAAATAATTTA